TTTTGCGGATACAGACTAACACAGCTGCTACTCTGAAACCATACATAGCAAAACTTCATTACTTCACATACAATGATAGTACATAAATCCAATGAGGTATTAATGTTTAGCAGATCAAGACCTTTAGAATGATACCTCACAAGGCATACTTGGACCAAACAGATCATAATTATATTACAGTGGTGAATATGGAGGTGCCAGGGTGTTGTTTTGGGGCATAGATTGTCACACTCGTTTATCTTGTGATTTTTGTCCACTCCCTCCCATCCCTCATGTGTTTGATAATTTACAGTGGTGCCAACCTTCCTGCAGGAGGGTTGGGGAGGAAATTCCAAGGGTCACAGAGGCCAGAAGGTTGGGTACATAGGTGTCCTCCAAGATCATAAAGACTAGGGAGTACGAGGCTAGAAAGGCTGATTTCAGGGTCCCCCGAGTGATATTCTCCCATATCTCAGTGACAGAGTCTGAGCTGGGAACTCCACCCTACTCCCACCCAGGGGAAAATTCTCTCCCCAGGGACAGAGGCTGGTGGGAAAGTGAAGATTGGGGACTCATCATCAGCATCCAAAAATGTCACCTGCTTACGTTCACAGTCCAGACAAACCCAGATCCTGCTGGGGACCCAGCTTTGGGGCAGGGGAGTCGGAGGGGAGGTGAGAGCCCAGCATCGACCCCACCAGCACTCCACAGCCCAGATCCCCCACTCAGGGTTATGACTGATCCCTCCCTTCCTTTTCACAGACTCTCTGGCAACTCCAACAGCCCAGAATTCCCCACCCCCCACCTCCACCTCCCAGCAATGTCTCCCTGAGATGAATCCCTCACACCCCAGCACACAGAACTCAGTGTCAAATCTCTTAGGATTGTCGGGCAGATCCTGCCGTGTGTCTCTCCATCTCACACTTTTCCGATCCTCAGACAGGATGAGCTGGGGATGAGCTGTGTCTGGATCCAGAGTCACATTCACTGGGGAGAGAGAGAAGCAGAGCGTTAGGGGCAAAGCTCAGTCCTGGGGGGAGGGTTTGATCATGTCACTGACAGAATCTGTCCCATCTGGAGAGTGAACCAGGAAATCTCCCTCTTCCAGGATTTACCTGTCAGCTCTGAGATCTCAGCCCAGTGCTAGAGAGATCAGTTGCTAGGCAGAGATGGGCCAGTGACAGAGTGAAAGAAGCAGCTGGGCAAGGCCTTAGATTCAGATTTTTTCCTGTCCTGCCCTGACCTCTCCCCCTCCTCAAGAAGGGAACTAGAGACTCTGGTACCACAGGGTTGCCCCAGCAAATTGTACAACCTTAAATATCACTGCGTCCCAGCTGTCCCTTTGGTGGACTTTGGTATGGTGGACTTTCCCCACTGCATCCTGTCTACTCTGAAATGTCACATCTCAGATAGCAAGAGGCCAAATGGTACTAGTATTGAGCATGCACAGAATTTCACTGCTTAGCAGCAGTTGCAGCACAAAAGTACATTAGCACAAGAGAGGGAGGGGTTTTGACACTGTATTGCTGAAATATGACCATGTATATCATTGTTCCTACCACTACAATTGCAACAAATCTTACACAGGAGTATGCCATGTAAGGTATCAATGGAAAAATTACAATCTATCAAATAAGATTATACAGTTTAAATCTATGTATCATCACTGTATCTGAAGTTATCAATATTGGCGCTCTCTCTCTCTGTATCCCAAATGTGTCTGTTCCTGGCATAACACCCATCAGGTAAAATCTATATTGAAGCCAGACAGCTTTGTGTTTATGGCCCATCAAAGGCAATTAACTCTCATAATGGCCATAGACTAAATTAATCCCACCCAGCAAGCCTTCCTGTGGACACCTGAGCCAGAATGCAAATAATGGCTGTGACTGAGAGTCAAAGAATGTAAGGACATGTGACCCTAGACTCCATCTTGTGTAATTTTATATAAACTGAGACTGTGAGCTTTGTTTGGGACAGTAAAATTCCACCTGCATGGCAGAGGGTATAAGAGACCTTGGAAACATCTCAGTTTTGTCTTAATTTCCTGTCTCATTTCTCTGGACTGGATTTCTAGCAAGCAAGTTCTAAACAAGGACTGATGATACCCAAGCTGTTTGGGTAATTTCCAGAGAGACTTTTGCAAGCTAGCAGTTTATTCCATCACTGATTCAAACCTGACATAAGAACTTTGCAATCACTCGTATGTATATGATTTCCTTGAGCATTTTAACTCTCTATTTCTTTTCTCTTAAAATTAAACCTTTAGATTTTAGCTACTAAAGGATTGCCAAAAGCATGATTATTGGGTAAGATCTGAGTTACATATTGTCCTGGCTGTGTGACTGATCTCTTGGGATCAGAGGAACCCTTTGTTTGATGAACTTGGTTTTCAATAACCACTTATCATAAAGTCTAGTGTCTGGGTACTGAAACGAGGGCTGGGATGTATAAGGGGACTGCATTTTTGACTTATTGTTAACCAGTGTGGTGAGACAGAAAATTACTTTTGTTTCTGGCTTGGTATATCTAATGGTAGCATAATCACCACTTTGGGGTGAGTCTGCCCCATTTCTCATCAGTTTGTCCTGAATCTGGTATCCTCAGCTGTGACCCACCGAGGCATGGTGACAGGGATTAAAACAAGTCAAGGCGGTTCATGGTGGAACGAGGAAGCAGCTACATGTGTAGGAGAAGGTGCAGAATAGGTGGCTGGTGGAAAGAGAGATGGTCATGCTAGTGATAGGGAGGCTGAAGTGATGCCCTGTTTAACAGAGACAGGACCATGCTGGGATCATGGTGGTTGGAGAGAGGAGAAAAGAGACAAGATCACAGCTCTGATCACAGGAGCTCCCCAGATCTGTATAATGGAGCCAGGAGAGTCCCTGTCTGTGATCAAGGCCCTGTTTCTCCACTTGAGACTGGAGCAAGAATCTCCCACAGACACAGTCCCTGCTCACCCTGTTAGTATGGGGACTTTGCAGAGCTAGTGGCTTTCTTCATAGGGGAGAAGATGAAGAAAGAAACAGAGTGTCATTGGAGATAGTCCATCAGCACAGGGTGATAAAACAAACTGCCCCTAGAGTAGTGCTATGGAGGTGCATGTCCCACTGGATCTTTATGAGTGGAGGCTGCTATTACAAATCTCTGTAGGGTGTAGTGCAGGGGTAACAAATTCCCCTCCCTCCCCAAGGTCCAGATATCTTGGTCCAGGTACAGTCAAGGTCCAGACTCCAGAGAAAATAAGAACAAAAAATTAACAATAATGATAAGTAAATAAAAATATTTTGGGGTCCATTCAAAAGCCCATAGTCCACCTATTAACTACCCCTGGTGTAGTGCACATGCAGGTGGTGGAGGGGCAGAAAGAGTAGATGCCATATGATATAGATTCATTATGGTGTGGTAGGGCAGGACATAGGCACAAACCCTGCTTCACCTCATGATGTCCTGGGAAATGCAGGGTGTTGGAGAGGTCTGCCTGAACTATCACATCCACACCCCCATTCAAGGAAAAAGAGGCACATTGTCTCATGGGAATTGATATTTGGATTTTGATAAAATGTGATCTTTAATTACCTTCTTCTCTAGTTCTTCTCCACCCTAAAACCAAGCATATAATTAGAAATGAGAGCTGATCTGAACCAATACTGTATGATTCAATATTACAAAACTAATACACTGAGGAAAAAAGAAAGACAGAATTTCTTCCAGATGTATGCTGCAATATTAAGCTGCAGAACCTCCACTGGGTTGCATGAATGTTTCTCTACCATGGTGTAGCTTCACTGCAGAATTAGCTCAGGATCTTACCTGGCTGTTGCGCCCATACACAATAATACACCCGTTTACTGCCCATACACAAAAATTCTGACTCAGGTTTGATGATGCCTTAATCCTAGGGTTAGTGGAAAGGCTTGGAGTATAGGTGATAGCCCAGTTTAACTCAAGTTGGTTACCTGCCCACTTTCCAGTGTGGATGGAGGCTAATCAACTCAGTTGCCGATAGTCCTCCAGTGCCTTCCCACAATTCCTCCTGGGACATTTTCTTAGCCACTACCTACTCCCTTCTTCTACACCACAGGCCACCTTCCAGTTTATAGACTTTGGTTTGGTGTTTAAACCCTACACTGCATATGGTCTGCTACAACTCTACTGCACTTCCAGAGTACTTGTACAGAGATGCCACCTAGGAGATCATCCTTCCAGCATGCTACCAGCTGGTCAGGTACTAAGATGAAGATCCTGGTGGACCTCTGGTGTGAGATCAGTAACACCCACAATTTGGGGAGGGATGGAGTCAAAATATGCTGTTCCAGGAGGATATCTCCAAGCTGCTGGCAGAGGAGGGAATTCACCAGAGGGAATCACAATGCAGGGAGAAAATCAAACTCTCAAGACCACATAAAATCAAGGATCACATCCTCAGTCTGACAACTCACTGGGAATGAGCCCTTTCTGTGAGGAGCTGGGCCAGGTGCTGGTATTGCCCCAAGCAGAGATCCCCCTTTCCCCCTAGATGGGCTTTTGACTATGGATGGAACTGGTGCTTGACCAAAGTGGAACCAGAGGAGCTGGAGCAAATGCTACATGCTTTGTGACATAGCCAGGATGACCTGAAGTCTGAATCCTAGGACCTCTTCAGGGTGGAGATGGGAGAATGGACCAGGGAGGATGCAGAAGAGGGACCAGCATTGCAGCAGCTGGGTAAGAGGCAAGCTGCTATATTTGTTAGTGTTATGGGGAATATTACAACTGTTTATGACCAGTCTCATCACTGCCATAGGGATGTTATATACTTGGGACCAGCTTTGATAACAAAGCTTTAACTGAAGACAGAAGAAACCTCCATTTTCCCTGCTCCTCCTTTCTTGCCCCCTCCTCTCTGGCCATGTGGATTCCAAGTGTGTGTGGAGGTGACAGGGTGTGTGTGTGGGGGAGATAAACACAAAATCAGTGATGTGTTGTGGCACACTCTGCTGCGTGCATCAAAGCAGTACAACCAGCAATACTTGCAAACATAGGGAAATTGGCAGCAGAAGAGGAGGAGAGTGAGTGAGATTGGGAGCTTTACCTAGGTACATTTAATCCTGACTCAATGAACGGGTGTGGACTAGATGATTTCGTCAGGTCCCTTCTAGCCCTACATTTCTATGATCTCATACTGACACTAGCATTCAAACATTTCTGGAAGCAGCTTACATAGTAAGTTCCATGCAAAGTCCTTGGTGAGGACAGCACCATTGTGGACACAGCAACATGGGTATGACTTGTGTCGGGCTTTTCAGTGGGACACTCACATCTGGGCGACACTAACCCAGTTGCTCAGGCCCAGGTGATGGACACCTGGACTAACTCTGCAGTGAAGATGTGTCTCTAGAGACTACACATTTAAAATACTTTTCTATTATAGGAAGTCCAATTACCCATGTAACTATTAACACATTACAGTTTCCCCACTGACACACTACAATTATGTTGCAAAATATTTGGCAATAAAGGCTTAATTCTTCACCCATTGAGGTCAATAGCAAATCTTTCATTTAGTTCAGGGTGAGCAAAACTAAATGCAAAGGTACTAATCTTACAAAGACAGATGCACGTATTTAACTTTGAGATCCCACAGGGGTCTGTCCTGAGTCTGGTACTACACTTCTACCCTGATACAACGCTGTCCTTGGGAGCCAAAAAATATCTTGCCACGTTATAGGTGAAACTGTGTTATATTGAACTTGCTTTGATCCGCTGGAGTGCGCAGCCCTGCCCCCCTGGAGAGTTGCTTTACCGCATTATATCTGAATTCGTGTTATATCAGGTCTCCTTATATCGGGGTAGAGGTGTATTCAAGTATTTTCATTAATGACTTACATAATGGAGTGGAGAGTATGCTGTTCGGAGTAGATATTAGGAAAACCTTTTTAACTACAAGGGTAGATAAGCTTCTGAACAGGCTTCCGAGGGAGATTGTGAAATCCCCATCACTGGAGGTCAGAGAGTTAATCATTATTCATAAAGATTTACAATTGTGGAGAAAAATTAAATTACAAATATGTATACTTGGATAAAATGACTTGGGTATTTGCTATTTCTTTGGTTAATAGAAACAAATCTATTTAGAGTTACTTAGGTCTTACCACAGAAGTTAAAAGGTTTCATTTTCCTCTTCTTTTATATATTACATGTCTTTATTACATTAGGGGCTTGTACACACTAGTGCTTACTTAGGTAGAACTTAAGTCGCTCAGGGGTGTTGAAAAGCCACCCCCAAGTGACCTAAGTTACACCAATCTAAGGACTTGTCTATACTTGCCGCTAAATTGGCACTGCTGCGATCAACACAGCAGTGTCGATTTAGTGGGTCTGGTGAAGACCCACTAGGTTGATGGCAGAGCGCTCTCCTGTCAACTTCTGTACTCTACCTCCCCAAGAAGTGTAAGGTAAGTTGGCAGGAGAGCATCTCCCATCGACTTCAGTTATGTAACTTAGTTAACTGAAGTAGCATAACTAAGGTCGACTTACAGCATTAGTGTAGATGCGCCCTCAGTACCAGTGTGGACAGTGCTAGGTTGGCGGGAGAAGCTCTCCTGCCAACATAGCTACCACCACTCAGAGAGGTGGAGTAATTATGCCGATGGGAGAGAGGTCTCCCATCAGCATAGATCATCTGCATTAGCAGCATTACAGCAGCGCAGCTACATCAGTACAGCTGTGCCGCAGTAGTGATTCTGGTGTTGGCTAGCCCTAGGTTGTCAATATTTCTATTCAAATTACTGTTTTATTTCTATGACATTTATCTCATGGGTCATTTCTCAGTATTGTCAGTACTAAAGTTAAGACTGAGAGCTCATTTCTATGTAAACCTCTTCCTTTTAACTGCATGTTGCTTTTTTCAAATTATCTTCTGGCGAGAAATGATCAGTCTTGGCCTTAACCCCACATTAATAAAAATAAAGAAACACGTGAGCATGCACACAAACAAACCAAAATTCCCACCCTAATCAAGCTATAGCTTTGTACAAAGTTGTAACTGTGGAGTGAAGAGAAATGACACTTACCAAGTGCTGCAGTAAGCTTCCCTTTAAAAAAGTACAGAAATAAATATTAATGATTATTCAGAGTTTCTTTCTGTATTGGCACACAGTTAAAGGACTGAATTCTATGTGTATGAAATTCACCATGGAGTTCAGGGCTGTGTCTGAGTTATGTGAATGCTGGGCAGAGCGATTTTACAGTCAATATATTTTGACTCTGACTCAGAACTTGGTTTTGAAGTTTTAAAATTGCTATAAATTTGTTTGCTCTCTGAAGATTGTGAGCATTTACTTACTGACTTTCCTCAGATGTAGTTCTATAGGGCTTAGCCACTGAGGGTGTGTCTGACACTGCAATAAAAGGCCAAAGGCTGGCCTGGAGCAGCAGACTCAGGCTCCTGGGGCTTGGGCTGCCTAGCTATAAAATCACAGTGTAGGGGTGGGCAAACTTTTTGGCCCGAGGGCCACATATGGGTGGGGAAATTGCATGCAGGGCCATGAATGACGGGCTGGGACAGGGGATTGGGGTGCGGGAGGGGGTGTGGTGTGCAGGAAGGGGCTTAGGGCAAGGGGTTGAGGCACAGGAAGGGTGCAGGGTGAATGAGGGGGCTCAGGGCAGAGGGTTGGGGTGCAGGAGGGTGTGGGGTGCGGCTGGGGGCTCAGGCAGGGGGTTGGGGTGCGGGAGGAGTGTGGCAGGGGGTTGGGGTGCAGGAGATGGTTGGGGTGCAGGCTCTGGCCCAGCGCCGCTTACCTTGAGCAGCTCCAGGTGCAGCAGCGTGCAACGGGGCTAAGACAGGCTCCCTGCCTGCCCTGGCCCCACACCGCTCCTGGAAATGGCTGGCACCTCGTCCCTGCGGCAGTGTAGACCTAGCCAGCCCAAGCCCGAACCCAAAGATCTACACTGCTACTTTTAGCCCTGCAGCACAAGCCCTGTGAGCCTGAGTCAGTTGATCTGGGCTCTGAGACTCACTGCTGAAGTTGTTTGTTTTTGCTTGTAGACGTGCCCACAGTGTCACTGTACTTTAGGTGTAGCTTGCTACTTTTACAAGTTACTTGTCTTTGGTTTTAGGTTGTAATTATTAATGTAATGGCTCAGAGATTATTTCTATTCAACCTGGAGAATCTGAGAGAGATCGTTGCAATACAAAACTCGATTTTGTTGAGTAAAACACTTCAGATTACATTTTGTTTTGAAATTTCTCAGGTTCAGTCTTGTCCCAATTTCTTTTAAAAAGCTGAAGTAAAAATGAACCAACTCCAGAAAAATTAAAGAGAAACACCCACAGAAGATCCCCCATTGCACAAAAGTTTTCTCCTCAGTGGGAGGTGAATCAGACTTACCAATTTCTGCATCATATTGTCCATAAAAAGAAATAAATAAATATCAGTTTTTGTTATGTGTTGCCCTCTTCTTATTTTATTTCCCTTTATCATTAACATGACATTTAAGGCTGCAATATTCTATTAAATCTCCTCTTCAGGAGATCAGAGCAGAGGATCTGGTGGTACCTTCTGGTCTTAAACTCTAGTCTATGACTCTATTGCTTATCAATTTTTCAATTTAGATTTTGGAATGAAATGTATCCAGTTTAGTCTTTCCTCACATTTCATAAAGTTACATTAAAAAACAAACCCACACACACCCAAAAAAGCAAGCAAGCAAACAAAAACAGGTTTCATAGTTCAATAAAATTTTAAAAGTTTAATTTACAATCAAGCAACTCCACACCAATTAAACAACTCCTATCTGAGGATCCAATTTTGTACAACTGTTTTCTTGTCAGGGGGTGGGGATAATGACACTTACCAATTTCTATATGTTGGCTCCCTAAAATAAACAGAAATAAATATAAAAGTTTATTATGCGCTTCCCTTATATGTTATTTTGCTGTATCATCAATACAAAAGTTAAGGCTGAGAAATTATTTCTATGCAACTTCCTCTTCTGCATTACTTATCTTGCCCATCACTCCTCCAATAACATTTTGGAATGAAGTTTATCTAATTTAAACTTACCTCAGATTTTTTAAAACTACATGAACATGTACACACTCACACAAACAAATCAAACAAAAGACACAAACAGGTCAATATACAACTGTGTAAGTGTTGTGACAGACCCAGACCAGTGGGGTACAGAAGTCTGGTAGAGGGTAAATATACTGGTCACTGGATGAGTAGTTTTCTGTTCCCTGAGTCACCAGACCTATTGGGATCCAGGAAGTGGGCGGGCTTCGGGGCCTCGAAGGGAGAGACACCGGAGTAGTCCTGTCCATTTCCGGAGCCGCTCCGACACTCTGCCCTCTAAACCTAGCCAGTTCTCCGGCGGAGACGGATGCGTGGCAGAAAGGTAAATGCCGAGATAGAGCAGCGGACCCGCGCTCCACCGGATGGCCTGAAGCGCGGGTGGGAGGGAGCTCGCCTGCCACCTGTCCCCTACCACCAGGCTAGAGCTCTTGACCGAGTTAACCCGGGCAGAGGAGGCCGCCGAATAGATGGTCTGGCAAGCCTCCACCCGCACCAAGTCACCCGGGTCTTGGACCACGTCGTCGGCGTACGCCGACAGGACCAGCCGCAGCACCAACCCTGCCAACCTCCTACGGAGGAGACAGAGGAAGGGCTCAATTGCCAGAGCATATAGCTGGCCCGAGAGGGGGCACCCTTGACGTACTCCTCGCCCGAAGCTGATCGGTTCGGTCAGGGTCCAGTTGAGCCTGACCAAACACTCTGCGGAGGCGTACAGCACCTGGAGAAAACCCACAAACTGGGGCCCGAAGCCAAACGCTCGCAGAGTGCCCAGGAGATACCCGTGGTCCACCCTGTCGAACGCCTTCTCCTGATCCAGGGACAGGAGGGCGAACGACAGACCATCCCTACACCCGAGTTCCAAGAGGTCTCGGACCAGATACAAGTTGTCGAAGATGGTGCGGCCCGGGATGGTGTAGGTCTGGTCTGGGTGGATCACGTCCACCAACACGGACCCTAGCCGCAGCGAGATGGCCTTCACTACGATTTTATAGTCCGTGCTAAGGAGCGAGATGGGACGCCAATTCCGTAAATCGCAGAGGTCCCCCTTCTTCGGCAATAAGGTCAGCACGGCTCGCCTGCACGAAAGAGGGAGGACCCCGCCCTGCAAGGACTCGGCCCAGACGGTGACAAGGTCCGGGCCGAGGACGTCCCAAAACATGCGGTAGAACTCCACGGTCAGCCCATCCATGCCCAGCGATTTATTGGTGGGCATGCGGCGGAGGGCTTCCGAGAACTCGGCCAGAGTGAGAGGCAGCTCCAGCCGGTCTCGGTCGCCTGCGCTGACCGTCGGGAGTTCATCCCAGAACATTCTGCAAGCATTAGGATCGGTCGGATCCGGGGAGAAAAGGCATCAGATCCGGAGGATCTGATGGAAATCCCCCCATCGCTGTAGTGCAAG